CAACGTTCTCGATAACTCATGATTATCATAGATCAATCCCATTTGAAGTTATTCATAAGCATTGAGCTTAGTAAATTGAGTTGTCTCTCTCTCACTCTCTCACACACACACATATCCGTACACTTTCGAATTACTTCCATAACTACATTTCTATCCGATAGTTTGGGAATTAGCCTTTGACCTAAGAAATTTCATCAGTCTGATATTTATACATATAACTATTGATATATAAAACAAGTGAAATATTTAGTTTTAATTTATTACCCAGTAATTACGTAACATTTAATAAAGAAAAGTTCGTAACTTACTCGTTTTCATCAAAGATGAAACATTACGGTTCATTAATTGAATTAATTCGTTATAGTTCAATAATTGTTAACAATGTATATTATCAGAATGGGTTTTGTGAAGATTTTAGAAATTTCACAGGTTGAAATCATGAGTCAATTGAAGCTAGACCACCATGGAAAACCTGGAGGCACTGGACGGCCGTTTTATCCTAGTATGAGACTCCTCAGCAGTGCACATCCACGGTGGTCTAGCTTCAATTGACTCATGATTTCAACCATGAAATTTCTAAAATCTCCACAAAACCCTTTCTCATAATAATTATCTGCTCACTAGTGACTGGCTTCAAGAGATACTCCTGGAGTTCTAGTGATAAGCCGTTACCCGTGGAGCTCAACCAGGCCGGTTGTGAGATATCAACTCACTGAAGACAATGAGGTACGGTGGCGCAACTTCGTGGATCGGTTGGAGTTAGACATTAACACTATTGGATGCCGGCTCAGTGATCTAGCGGTTAAGTGCTCACGCGCGAAACCAGTAGGTCCTGGGTTCGAATCTCTCAGGGGGCGTGATCGGGGTCACGCACTGCTGAAGAGTCCCATACTAGGACGAAACGGCCGTCCAGTGCTTCCAGGTTTTCCATGGCGGTCTAACAATGTTCATTGTTCATTCATTCGAATGCTATTATGGTTGAAATAACAAGAAATCTAAGAAACCCTTCTTTAATGAACTTAGACAAGTATTTTTGTATTTACAGATATACCAAAACAAGATTGATATTCGTAATGTGTAGTATATAAGGTAGTGAAGAGTAGTTTATAACATGTAATATGTGAATAGAATGATACAGAGAATTCTTTATTGATTTATATAAGTGTTTTTTTGATGATACTTTTTACCCTATTCAAATGTTAGAAAATTTAATTTCAGTTCCGCATATCATCATCATCATCACCACCACCCGAAATATCTACTTTAATCAATAGTTTCCATGGCCGTCTCAATTAGAAATCATAAATCGTGAGATGAGAATGGAGATTATTGATTAAAGTAGGTATTTCGGATGAATTCTAATTAAATATGTGATTATTTAACGTATACAATCGGAATTCTAAACTCAATGATACATACATACAAAGAGAAGTCTGGTAGTGTGTGATATTCCCGGCTATTGAATATATATATATAGCTTCCTAAATACTCAATCATATATGTTTACAGAATCCACATAACGCCATGTCATTAACCTTGAATGTGGAATATATTGAGTTAAGTGGGAAAGATTGATTGAATAAAATATATTCTCTCTTGTTTTCATTAATTTGTTAATAGAGTACTTTAAATGATAATTATTATTGAGGTCAGTTAATTTGTCAAGGCATACATCAGCAAATATTTATTGTGAAACATAGTTTAGACATTAACACCGTTGGATGCCGGCTCAGTGGTCTAGTGGTTAAGTGCTCGCGCGCGAAGCCAGTAGGTCCTGCGTTCGAGCACCGGGTGGTGCGGGGTCGTGGATGCGCACTACTGAGGAGTCCCATACTAGGACGAAACGGCCGTCCAGTGCTTCCAGGTTTTCGATGGTGGTCTAGCTTCAACTGACTCATGAGTTCAATCTGTGAAAATTTCTAAAAATCTCTACAAAACACATTCTGATAATAAAACATAGTTTAGTTTATAATAATTGGTTGATCACTGGGTGGTGATCAATGTCATATATATCAGGTCCTTCTTAGTACAGATCAAATCTTATCGACTAACTACCATCTTATCTCAATGTAGTGAACACAAGGTAGAGTCACCTAGACTAGTGGCCACATTGTAACTTGGTCAATAGAATTCAATCTGTACTGAAAAGAGCCTGCCACGCATGACATTGATTATCAACCGGTAATCAATCAATTGTAAATACATCTCAACCCTATAGGAGGTTAGTAATGACTCGGATAACTCAGTGGTAATGTCTCTGACTGTGAAACTGGGTGACACGTTATTAAGTCCGTCGGGGATTATCAGTTCCCTCAGGATTACATGTACACTTTGCTAACGAATGCCAAATCCCATGAAACCTAGGTTCAAGGTTTTCTATCGACTACCTCGAACAATCATCTTAGTTTAGTTTATAATTGTCAGTTTCTGTTGTCATTGGAAATTACATTATTCATTTAAGAGATCTTTTTACTTCAATATTATTCTGATTACTTGTAAATAAAATAATTTCTAACAGGATACTTACTAGAAAAATGTAATGAAATCTAACTAACTTCAACATTTCACTCAATAAGCTTATTTAAACTTCTTTAGGATAATAATCAAAACGATCAAATATTAATATCGGTAGGGGTTTTTGTGGATATTATAATAATTTCAATAGTTGAGATCATATGTAAGTTGAAAATAGACCACCATGAAAAGCCTGGAAGCACCGGAGGCCGTTTTGTCTTATTGTGGGACACATTGCGCGCGAAATAGATAGGTCCTGGGTTCGAGTCTTGTGAGGCGGGATCAAGGATGCGCAATGCTGGGGAGTCCCACACTAGAACGAATCGGCCATTCAGTGCTTCTAGGTTTTCCATAGTGCTCTAGTTTCAATTGACTCATGATCCTAACTATTGTAATAAATATTACATAAAAGAATCTCAAATAACCTTGTTCAGTGTAACGTTGGAATTAACTACATTTCATTCAATGAAACTACTTTTTAATATAATTTTTATATATCAGTTTATCCAAATGTTCTTCAAAGTTCAGTTAAGTAGAGCAAAACAGAGCGAAAAAGAACAAAATTTCATTTTTCACATTAAGGAACATGTTTTTTGGTATTTCTTCAAGTTTAAATAACAATACTGAGACGAAGGTAGATTCATATTTAATGAAATGTATTCCGTAAGAAGAAATATTGGATATTAATTCAGTAGTCGGAAAGTGTTGCATTCGGGACAAAGATTAATTTCTTGGATTTAATCCTTAGTGGAATTGTGGATTCGTAATACTAAGGAGTTTCATACTAGAGTGAAAAAATCTGTCAAACACTTTATGGTTTTCAGTAGTTATCTGACCAATGTTAGACCATGATACAAAACTCTCAAAATATATGTCGAAAGGTCGATACTATCATCCTCTATGAACAATCATCGTTCGAAAATGAACAATAATACAATGTTTGAAACTTGTGGTCAGAATGTATGTAAGACAGAACCATGAAGTATGACAAAAAAGAGAGGAACCAAAGAACATAATGTGTTGGAAATTGTAAGCAGGCATGAAAAGGATGAAAAATAACTGGAAACAACTGGAAAGGTTCGCACAGGATAGAGGTCAGTGGAAAGTGTTTGTGGGTGGCCTGTGCTTCTCCAAAAGGGTAACAGGCGTAAGCAAGTAAATGATGTGTAACGGATAGCTTACATTCAATTTATAGAAAACAAAATCGCAATGTGGATTATTAGTTCAATATCTGAATATCTTGTAATGAACATATTAAATAGCATAATATTGAATTTAAGGATAATAACTAAAATTCACTTAACTTATAATAAGATCTAATGTATTGAATAGGAGAATATTCTTACGTCGTAAAGCGTGGTTAATCTCTACAGTTTTACAGGATGTCTAGGAAAAAACAACATTATCATAAGCATGACACTCTACTTAAATAATATTGGAAATTAAGAATGATAACTATTTTTAGATTTATGGGGTATTATATATACATATGGATCGATTAGCTACTAGTAACTATTATTAGCAAGGTTAACTCATTATCTAACATGGAATTGTGTACTCGGTTCCCAATTATACTCTAATTATGAGTGTATGCACAACTACTCAATTATCCAAAATTACAATTTACTGCTTCAAAGAAGAAAGCTTTAATCACTGAACTAAAAAAAGTATTCACTTGGCAACAACTGATATTATATTATCTACTGTTCACTATTAATGGAATTCAATCATCTAATTCTCAGTCTATTCATTTAGCTAGCAAGCAGTATCAACTGCTTCAACAAAAGAACACATTCACCCTATGAAAAAGTATCAAAGCAAAACTTGGGTTGTTTTTTGTTCCTATTATATTCAATTGTATTGCATCAATGATTCTACATTGTCTAACAATCATCATAAATCAGTAATTAGTTTATTTCAATGCTAAAAAAATCAAATGACTCGTGGAGATAATTTAAAAACACCACCGTATAGTTTTAATATTTAAAAAGGCATTAATCATTGCATAAATAACTGTCATTTGTATGTTTCTAAAATCGATAATAGTCCGCCCGGGATGCACATATGCCAATGAGAGACTGATTAGTTTCAGTCCTAAACATCGATTGGAAGATTCAAGCTAACAATAGCAAATGAATTTAAAATCCACCCTATTGCACAAATAAATGGTGATTAGGACCCAATTGCTAAGTGGATAATGTGATTACGTTTGGAGCGGACGATACTGGGTTTGATTCCTAAAGTGAACATAGAGTAAACATCAACCCTGGTATGCAGGCCTATCCATCTGACGAATCCTAAATAGGACGAAACTTGCGTCCTGGATTCCACTACTAGCCACCATCCATCTCTATTTACAATACTTGTGAATTAAAAGAATATCGAGACATTCTGCATAGGATGCACATATACCAATAAGTGACTAATCAAATACATTTCTAAACATCAATGGGAAGATTCAAATAAACAATCCAAAATGAACTTACTTTTGTTCTTCGAGAGATTGTACTCAGTTGTAGAAATTTCAGAATATTAATATTTACTGTGAAGCATAAGAATTAGTTTCTTAATTGAATATTTCTATATGTAAATCGTGTAATCGTGTAATCGTGTAATTAATACATTTCATTTATAATTATTTCTTTATATACATTTTTGAAAAAAAGATTAGCCAATCAAATTCGTGTCATTATTTTACTTTGATTTGATTGGTTAATTAATACATATATAATCGTTCTCGAATAATACATACTGTTATCTATCCACTTATTTATTCGTCCTTCTGACCATGACCATATATATATGTATAGACTTCGTATTATAATTAGATGAAAAGATAACTCAACTTAATATTTTCTTAGAAGAATTATTATTCTCTATGTAAATACAGTTATGGGGATTTTGCTACCGTTGAAGGAAAAGTTCACTTGAAATTTTGTGTATATAGTGATAGTAAACTAAATTTTTGTAAAAACTTCCAGTTGACTGTTTAGAAGATGGAAGGCACTTTTTTTCCTTTTGTGCATTAATGATTTATTTTTATGATGAGTAATGTAAATTTATAAGAAGTTTAATTCACTTGATATTGTTTTACTTGTATCTTCCCATTGATGTTTTAGGACTGAAATTGATCAATCCCAGAGTGAATATCAACTCTGAGATGCAGGTTCATCCAGCTGACGAGTCGCAAACAAGACGAAACGCGCGTCCTGGATTCCACTGCTAGCCACTATCCACCTTTGCTTATAAGAAGTTTGTTGTCACACAATCTCAGATTTTTCCGTATAATATCATAACTGTGAGACATAGTAGAAGATATGTACAAGGTGATAGATGTTTCAAGCAACTAGTTCCTTTCATGAATTTGAATAAACCTTGGACAACAACTGAGACAGAATAATATGAATTCATTATATTTGTGGTGGACTAAACAATATATGAACTCGAAAATAGTAATAAAGCTATTGCGTACAAACAGTAATGTTATAATATATCAATTAAACGTTATAAACACAATAAAAATTTATGGACGTTACTTAGGTCAGCTGGCTTGTGCGTGTTCAGATTGCGTTTGGTATCAGAATCCACAACTATAGATGATTAATTATTCCAATAAGATTGTTGTGCTTCCAGTGATATAGCCTAACGTAGAATATAATGTGAATATGGCTGAAGTCTATAAATGTTGACAGTAGATGGTTTAGAGTTCAATTATCACAACTGCGAGCAATAGAGAACAAAAGGTGTGTATATAGTAGTGCATTTGCTAACAGTTAACAGCGTGTGTCATGCTATGCGTGTAACACAACGGAAGAATGTGAGTTCAAGATCATACACTTCAACAACATGTTCAATCATTTTGTGATAAATGTACAGACTGTAAAAATTAACAAAATAAATGCAAGTAATATCAAAAACTATTTACAAAATAAGTTTGTCATGCCTATCTCCACATATTTCTTGGTTTCTTACTAGCTTCTTACAACCGCGTATATATTAAAAGGTAAGAATGAGGTATGATATGATGTAAACCGATTGACATTTACGACGGAGAGAACTACAGTGAAAAGGATTATCAATAATAACTGTATATATATGGCTGTGCAAGAAGAGATGCCAGGTAATTTGGAGATAGAATTCTAAAACATAAGGGGTTAGGTATGGTAGTAATTGAGCACGGTCCATAAATATTTAAGATAGATTGTATGGTAATTTTAGAGGTTGTGAAGTATTTACATAAGATTACTAAGATCAGAAATGGATAAGATGGGTCGCTCGATAATTCCTCCTCCATAATTCTGCTTCTAAACCTCATTCAATTACTGCATCACCGAAACCCCTATATTTTTTAATTCTATTTCAAAATTACCGCACATCTGTTATTGCAGAGATATATATACACAGTTATTATTGATAATCTTTTGACTGTAGTCCTCTCTGTCATCAATGTCACTTGTTTCACATTATACCATACCTCACTGTTTCTTTTCATTCATATGCGGGATGTTTGTTGATCACTGATATCTTCAAAGTATTGTCCGCATATATCGGAACAACCAAATGGGCAATGTTGAGGTTAGGCCTAGATTATGTGTCAACGAAGGTGAATAGGTTAATGAAGTTCGAAATTTTTATCGACTGAAGTGTCATGGACATTTGTCATGTACGTTAGCCATCGCCTATTAAGGAGAGCAATGTCAACTGTTAAGTTGGAAGAAGGTTAATGAAGACCATACCAAGACGTGGTATTAGTCGATGTAGTCAGTGATTGACTGTTGAATTAATCCACCTTTATAGATGCGTACTCATCGGTCAGGGTTATTTAACTAGATAACCACAATCAATAACTGAAGTTCTAAGGAAGTATGATTCAGAATCGGTCAAAATGTTGCACTCATTTTTAAGTTTTCTAACTATACTCTGTGTAATCAGTCTTCTCCGTTACCAACTTTTACTACATAATTTCGATTTTATTTACTACTTCATTTATTTATGTGGTATTTATGTGGTAACGACAACTCGAAGCAATGCGTATTTACACCGGGCTCTAGGTTAATGATGAATGACTGATGAAATGGAAGGTTTCAAATGGTTGAATTCAGATTAAAATCTCTCTAGTTAAGTTAATTGATATTGACGAAATGAAAAGATGAAATAATTTCAGCCAATATTTCTCTTATCGATTCAGTGTAAATTTCGTTTAACATAACATGCGTGAACTTTCGTTCAGTGAGACAATTATAATTCTTGTATCAGTTCAAGTGGAAAAAATTCAATGTGTATGATTTTACAGTAACATGTGTGATGTATATGACACCATTAAGTGTCTAAAAATCAGTATGCAAATGATTGTACTTCACTTTAGAGACGGTGTGGTTTCAGGATTCGTTTGGTGAGAGAGAGAGAGACAGACTGAATAAATCCACATTACATCACCAGTTTTCCATGTTCTTACTTTAGTCATGAGTATTTCATTAGTTTCAAATTATCAAGTAAAATCAGTTAGACTTCGGACTCCAACATGGTCGATACGTACAAAACAGAAACGAAACGCCACCAGAAACGACAGAGACGACCGTTCAGACATAACAGCAGTTATACACTGTATCAAATAACATTATCTTTTTAATGGTAATAGAATCTTGAGTTATAGGAACTTAAAGATAATTCATTGATCAGTGAAGATAATCACATAGATTACTTATAAAAATGTAGTCGGGTATCAATTGCATACTGGCTTTGAACTGTCATTACAGAGATATATCTTCTCTTTCAGTAATGATAAATCCCCTTATGTTACATTTTCTTATACAAACAACTAACAAATAGTTATTCATCCTTGATATACTTCTCTACAAATTTTTGCATTGTTATTATTTACTCTTGAATTGCCATAAATCAAATGTGTATGCATCACGCGATTACTGTTTGGTATGTCGGATCGTTTCTTCCTCTCTCTCTCTCTCGCCCACTCACTCACTCAGTCGCACACCCACTAACTAAATGTTTGACTAAACTTAGTAGTAAACAGTCAACTGTTTTTGATTGTTTCTATCTCTCACATTTGTTTTCTTCATGTCACGTAATCACATTTTAAAAGTATAGTTCAGTTGAATGAATTCAAATACATTAATCGTTATCATAACACTAGGGAAATGGAACTGCCTCCAGTGGACTGTATAATCACATCTAATATTGACTACTTTGGAATGTTAGTAATGACAGTCTGAGCACCAAACCATATATATATATATATATCGTAGTGGATGCTACCCACAAGATTGTTTTTAAGGAGTGTGTATTGGAAGGTGACGTCTAAGTTACTACAGTTGTCAGACATAGTGTATTGAAAGCAAGGCGTTGGCATGAAACGTGGAAACCAGACCAGAAGGGAGTTCAGAATAAACAACAAACCAAAAGATGTAAAAGGAAGATTGAATGCTATGTATATTTAATATGTAAATACTACGTAACGTCTCACAATGAATACAAATTCCGCCTGCCTACTGACTTGTTTTACAGCATATTTAGTATAGTTTGTGAAGAAATAATTAAATGATTTAGTCAGCTAGTTATATCTGTTGTTTCCAAATGGTTAATAGTATGGTATTGTAGATATGTGTACACACGGTAAATTATTTATTTATTTATGTTAAATACTACTTAGTTCAAATTATACAAATCGGACTGTATATCAATCATATAAGAAGTGATATGTTCATAGTTTGTTTTGATTTACATCGAGGGTCAGATAAATTCATTACATGTCATTGAATTCGGGGCTTTCAACACTAAGTATAAGTCACTTAAGCAATTAACAGGTAATAACAGGGACAAATATAACAGTATGTTAACCGGAATTAGAATAGGTTTAAATTATCCCGTTGTTGACATTCAGGACAGATGTCTGAATAGTATTTATTGACATATGTTCATTCTGAGCATTTTTTTTATGGTGACACTTTAGGAGGAAGCCAAAAAAACGAATTTTAGAGTTGAAAGTTAATGTAGGAGGAATAATAGGAATTGAAGAACGAAGTTGATTATGAATACAGTGATCTTGAGTGCTGTTAGAAGTATGAGGGTGGTTGTCGCTTCCCGGTTGCCCACACCGTGGAAGGGTTCTGCTGGTGGTACCTGAAAAGGAAATAGGATTAGAGGTGATCTTAGTGACGTGAGGGTGTGACCACAGTACCTAAGGTACAACTGCTTCAGGCCAGTCACACACGACGTTTCTGTGAGTAACTTTCGTGTTGGCTCCGTACTTGTTGAAACCTTACCGCCGGAGACGGATATCTGTGGGATAAGGCGAGATATGCATCTTGAGGGTTGACCTTATCTAACCTCACCCTTCCTTGTGGCAAGACAGCATCGCCGCTATGCTGGTTGTCTGAATGAATCGTTTTACTGTCGTCACACCTCTGTGCAGTCAGCAGTACGACTTCGCCCTCGGACCTCGGATTTACTGCTTTCATTCTTATCACTCTCCATCCGACCTGTCTGATATGATAGGACCTTGAATAACGATTGTTCTGGCCATTATAGCTCGATTGGTTCATCACGATAGGCCAGCTCGACCACCACGTCAAGGTAGCAACAACTGTCAT